GAGTCCTGGAACTTCTGTACCCCAAGGAACAGGGCCTGATATTGGCAGCACAAAGCGACCGTTAGAGTTTTGCACTTTATCCTTCAGAAAGATAGAGACCTGCAAAAGAATATTTCACCTTCTAGAAAATCAATTACATATCTTCTGATCCGAATTCTTTGAAGTCTGACCTTGCAGCCTTCCTGCCTAGACTAGGATTGGTTTCCTAAAGATTTTGATGTATATATAGAGACTGTGATACAGGCCAAAGCCAGTCATGTAGAATTGTGGTCCAGAGGATGGGCACACTGATGTAACATTAAAAAAAAAGTGTACTGTTTTATACGCTTGAGTAGGATTGATTTATTTAGAGAGTATCAAGCCCCATGACTTCAAGCTCAGGGTCTCAGTTTCATATCAAGTTTCTACTAAAAGGAAAAACCTATTTATCAACTAGCACATCCGTACTAGTAGATATTCCTTTTTTCATAACATTTTAGAATTGAGTATTATTGTAGTAAATGTGCTCAATTTGTAAAATTTTGAAGATTGAAACTGCAAGCACATCAAGATGACTGAAAAGCCTAAGTAACAACCCCAAACTTACAGTGTAGCTGTGACAAGATACCTTCGCGTTCTAGCCACAAACTCCCTTCTGTTCCTACTGACTAGTTATATTGGCCTCTTACCCTTATGTGCATGTCCTGAAAAAAAACGAGGAGCGTTTGCCTGATGAGCTGAAATTCACCAGCGGAGAGGCAGCTGTATGTCTGGAAAAGAAAAACCATCACGTAAGGCTTTGCAAGTGTGCCATGTCCAACCCAGCTAAGGGTGAAAACAAGTAGATCAGAATACTGCTAGCCCAGAATGGTACGTGTGTGGCAGGGGAAGCAGAGATGATGTGAGGGGGACTGCTGGTCTTTATCGGTAATTATTATCCGTGACTAGGAGTCTGGTTTAATTTCTGCTGAAGTCAGTGGAGACTTTGATCAGGCTGAATAACCAATGTATTGATTTAAACTGGGCCAATAGAAAAGTAACACTTGACTCGTAGACATCTCCCTCTCTAGAAGCCCTTTGAAAACATTTCATGACTTCCCAGAACTTTTAACATTTTATGAAACCAGTTCCCCTTCACTGGGAGACTCATATTCTTTGTCCAAAGAATTACAGCATTTACATGAGCAAAAGTTGCTAAGCGGAAGGCCAATATGTTTCCCTCAGGTGAAAAAGAGGGGAAGGTTATTTGAATGCTTCTCTGAGGCTGAGAACATATCAACCTCCACACTTGATATGGCACTTACTGATGTAGTATTTAGTCTCTAAGATTAGCTTGAAAGAGAAAAAAGTCTCAAACAACAACAGTGTGTCCCACCGTTTTTGTAAGGATTCTTACTTCAATCAGCTGTCGGAAAGTTTCGTCCACCTGGTTCAGGATGCCAGGAGAATCGCGTACGAAATCCTTGATCGCATCCAGGTGATTGAACGTGACCAGCAGAATGTCTTTGGGCCGAGGGCACAGCAGCACTTGGTATTTGAAAGCCATAGTCATAAGGTCATACAGCTGCAAGGTAACACGGGGAAATTTTGGTTCCGTCACAACATGGAGAGCGACACCGCTTAGGTAACTTCACGCTGATGTAGAAGGGGATTTAGACACTTAGGCTAGCACCTGCCTATGGTAAGAAGAACCATTTTAGCTTTGTTTCCTAAGAAAATAAGACCTCTGCAATCACATTGTCAGCCCTCCTGCTGGCATCTCCAACTGCCTTTAAAACTACTGCCAATTTCAACAACGCCGACACCCGGGTAGAGGTCTCACAGGTAATCCGGTTCCTACAATTTTTTTCAAAATCGTCTGCTGGATATACTGTTTGCAGGCAAAAATTCTAACACCTGCAACTGCAAAACAGTGAGTGTCAATATAGAAATAGATGTATTTATACGTACTCACATATGTATATATTTTTAATATATATAAAAAAATCTGATAAAGAATGCTTACTGAACCTCTTAAAATCAAACATTCACATATCAAAGCAGAAACACTTAGTTCTGAACTATCTGATACTACCATGGATTTCCCCAAAGCTTCCTTGGCTGAGAACCATTTTTACAAAGAAAGCAAACGGAAAGAGAGCTGTTACAAAATGCTTCCAAATGACAGGGACATAAAGCCACGTACTAATGGTCGCAATCAGAAGCTTGTGAACCGTCGCAGGGAAGCACAGCATAGGCAGGACTGGGCAGGTGGTCTTTTTTACCTTGTCCATGCTTGCCTGGTTCAGCCTCATGATCGAAGCATGAGCTAGCCGGTCGTACACCGTTCGCAGAGCTTTCTTGGAATAGAGGTCCTGTGGTTTAAACAGCTCTTCCATAAATTTTTTATTGAACATGGTTGTGATGATGTCATTCATAACTGCAAAGACAAAGAGTCTCTGGTTTTTTGCTTCAGAAACAGCACATTCATCTGATTCATTCCCCACTGAGAACTTGGACGCTGACAGCTGCGAGGATTGACAGGAATGCTTACCTGTGAAAACTAGGTACTCAGCCACAAAAGAAAAAAGGAGGAGGAACAGCGCTTCTTAATGTCAACATTTTCCTCAATCCCACATTGGTCTAAGCGAGCAGCACGATTCCTGAGACTGCCCAGGGGCAGAAATGCTACTTAAGCTGTAGACAACAAATCCTGTTTTCCAGTGGGAATAAGACTGGTTTTGTTGCCTTGTTTTCACAGCAATGGTTAGCACTTTCCCCTTTTTAAATATTTTTTTTATAGGCTACTCTGGCATGTATTATCTATAAAAGCTACAGTTCTGCTTCCCAAGAAGACTATTTCACATCGCTCTAGATTTTTTGCAAACTAGCTGACTCTGCCTGTTCTCTTTAGCCTTTGACGCTATTAGTCTATTTTTCTTTCTAAACAGAAGCTCCTGAATGGTTCAAGGCTCCTTGAAGTATTTGTATTAAGCAGATTAACACTCGACAAGTATTTAAGGAGGCATTTATAACACTGGGATCTATGTCAGGCCATGCAGTGCTCTTACGCAGCAACATCTGCGGATACCAGAGCAGTTCAAAAGCGCAGAACTCTAAACTTCCTTCATTTTTTCACCTGTAAATTTAGACATTGTTATGCGACTTACTCAAGAGTATGTAGAGATCAGGAGTGCTGAGTATAAGGGCTATGCTCTGGTTATCGAGCTTTTAATGCAAAGAAGATACAAAACATTTTGCGGTGATTCAAGCAAACGCAATATCTTAGCTTTCATGCTGGATCTGATAGTTTTACCATATACCTGATACATTCGACAGAGTTATCATAAATAAGCATTTATTTCTCTATCAAAAAAATGTTAAATCAAAATTTCAATTCGTAGGTTACTGTACAATTAATTTTCCTAAGCAGATGATTGTTACTGAAGCTCATAATGCCAGCTGATTCTTACGGATTAGAAAAACCTCAGCAGAAGGAATAAAAAAAAAAAAAAGAAAAAGTGAACATAGACATAGTGGTAGTGATCAGCTATTTGAAGTCCTGCTGTAATTATTCACTGGTGGGTTAGACACCTGGCTTTTCACAACTGTGGTACTGAAGCTACACATACAGCCAAAAGAAAGTTAATGTCCCAGGCACTTCATCTTTTCTTAGACAATTAACTCTCTGGGGAACGTTGCTAAGTACGCTGTAGGTACTGAGAATCTAGGCACGGATAGCTCTTTTCCTGAGGGCAAGTGCCTTCTGATGAGATTCTCTCTCCCTGTTTAAAGCTGATGTTTACAGGTTTTCTCCTACGCTGGCGTACATCACTGGTGACACACGCATTTCGGCATCCATTGTGCTGTACTTAACAGGGCTCACTGGTTCCTGTTTTAAGAACCAAAACAATACAGACAGGTCTCAGCTCAGTTTCTGAGCAGCACAGATCACAAATACACTTTGTAATGACAAATCGGAAAAAAATCCCTCCTGTTCCTCGCTGCTTTTCAAAGAAACTGTCCATAAAACAACCCCTACTTGCAGTCTGAGGCAAAAATCCTCACTTTCTTTCAGTGGAGAAAATCAAATACAGTGTAGTAATATATATTTCATTTTGCAAGTATATCAATTACGACAAAAATAAGAACTTTTGCCCTATAATGCTATCAAGAAAAATAATTTTTAAGTTGCTTGCATATGTTGTCTGCACAAAGGCTTCTCCTCCATCTTTGGAGAGTCACTAAGAACCAAAACTGTCAGGAGACAGATAATGTCCCAGTACGCTGACTGTAGCTGGTAGATATTCACAACGGAATCGGAAGATGTGCGTTAACCACACACCCAGCCTTACATAAATCATCTTCTGAAATTAAAACCTCTTGTATTGGCTATAAAAAGAACTGAGAAAGACATTAAGAAAACACGGTAAAGGGCAAATCTCACACGGTATGGTTGATAATGACACAGCAAAGAGATCTCAGAGCACAGGTAGTCCCCAGGGAGATATTTACACCATTCTAACAATGGAAATAACAAAGAAAGGAGCGTTAGCTCAGGGAAAATGGCACGCCAAGCAACATAGCATAAAAGCAATTTAGCGGAGAGGGGTTTCATCAACTGGGATGGGGAGAGGGAAACCAAGTATAGACAATGCGATGGACGGAAGAGAAGCTGAGGATTTATGGTGGGTTTTGCCTACACGTGCCATGTCACTAGTGACAGACACGTTCCAACGTCTAGTGCGCTGTCACGTAACATGGCTCGGGCGCATGACGTGAGACTGGAGTCTTTACGCCTGGGCTATGCTCATGCTTCTCGAAGGACGTTCAAGACAGCAGGGGGAATGTTACGAGTCCAAAACAGTCACACATTCTACTTGCAATAGGTTTATAGTCTGTAACAAGGTGAAAGGCAGGCAAAGCCAGCTCGTTATGGCTTCATCAGCACTAGACTCGGCTGGTTACTCTACGTAACTCTTCAGAGATCGCCCCAAGAGCAGTGTTCGTAGGCAAACTTCTCTCTCACAAGAGAAGCTGATTGGTCAACGTGGGATCTGCATCTGTGCCGCTACCGCCTAAATATGATAAAGCGTGCTTTTATACAAGTTGTTGTTATTTTGGATGTGATAAAAGAGGAATATGGAATCTTTTAGACTTCTGAGATATTAAATGCTGCAAAATAGTGTTCTTGGAAACACCACGTAATGGTAGCAAAAAAAACCTGGGGCAAACTCTAGGATATCAATATTTACCTTCATATTCAAGGTAAATATTCAAAACCTACAAACGATGCTTATTTTGAAAAACATGAATCATAACCCTGATCTCTCTTAAAAAAGGGCTGCTCAAAAAGACACTGAAAGTTTTCCTCATGTTCACCAAGCAAAAAACCTGAAATAATAATAAGAGGTTCATTTCCTCATCCAGCTCCTTACCACACCCCTTTGCTGGAGGCTACCATTTCAAGGCAGAGTCCAGAAGGAATCGCGCGCTCACACCTCAGCTGCTGCACTGCAAAACCCGATGTCCCAGCTCCAACCCACCTCCAGGGATAATTTCACTCAAGATGAGCTTGGCTGAAGCATGGGCACCTGCTCCTTTGTGATCGCTCTGCTGCAAGAGTGGTGACCGCTAGCAGAGATGGATAAGCAGCTAGGATGGAAATGCCTTAAATTTTCCCTGGCGTTCACCTGTCAAAACCCTAAGCAAGGTATTAGAAAAAAAACTTAGAAAAATGCAGTATACCTAATATTCCTGCATTTAAGCAGAAAAACAACCTTCACAATGCTCGCAGAATTATATGCTTGCATTAATACGATTCTAGAAAAATACAAATATAATTTTGGCTAGAAAGACCGCTGTGATAAAAAGTTTTGATCTATTTATAGTCTTGGTTAAATCAGCAACTTATTTTTGAAGCCATATGATTTTGAGATATTGTCTATTCTTTCTAAGATCTATAGTTACAGTGCATTTTAATGAACAGGTGAGTATTATTATTCATCTTTGGCACTACGACTAAAGGCTGCAGGAACAGCATACAGTGTGTTCACGTACAATGAGCCTCATGTGTGCATGTAGTGGTGTTCGTCTACTGCATGCAGCTAGAAGATTACAGTACCTCGTTTCCTGTCCACATCTGTCCATTCATCTACACGAAGCATACAAAACAAAAACATCAGTTCAAGAAGTAAGAACAATAGTTTCAAGGAGAAGAAAAGAAATAAACTAAAAAAAACCCCAAAAAATTTAACTAACGGACTTTGGTTTTTCCCATCAGCATTCAGCGCTTAACAAGAGCGAACTCTTCTGTTACTTGACATCTTTCACTTTCAATGAGCACACAAACCTTGAAACCTTGCCCTCCCCTTGGAAGAAATCTTGTTGCTTCAACGGAGATAAAATTTTACCCTTGATTGGATCTTCTCATGTTTTGCATTTAGCTTGGAAAGTTTTCATCTGTTTTTTGCACTTACAAGTGAACAATGTTTCAGGGAACAGCTTTAAGCATTAAGAAACACCTCAGTGTGGACGAAACCACATCTCAGTAAAATTAATGCCCCATTTTTTGGAAGATAAAATACATGTGTGGATAAACTAGTACAGATCTAATTCTCCTGCTGAGATAGTCCACCGAGTATGGCTAACTGAGTTTAAGCTCTAACCTTAGACCTAAATGAAGAGTAGTAAACTTTTGTCAGATTGTTCTCTGAAGACACACACAAATAATTAAAAATTGCACTGCTGTAATGAAACCTTTGCTATTGTTTAGCACTTCTTGCTACTGGATAGGCAGGAGAAGAAAAAAAGTGTAACAACCTCTTCAATACTGAGTTAATATTGAGTTGATTTTTTATCACAAAATACTAAAGCTTCCTGAAGCGCATTCTCCATCCCGTGACAGGAACCTGCAAGAATTTTTAAAAGCAAAGCAGTTTTAATTTGTAAGTGGTAAACAAAGAGGTGCTCAGCTGTAAGCTGGATTTTTTGCACACACCTGTGAATGCACAGGGCTCTACTTTTACAGTAAGTTGGACAAAGTGCTAGACTGACAGATTTTTATAAAAGCCGGACAAGGGTTTCAGGAGCCATATTTATGTTATTTGAAGCTTTTCTTAATTGTGCATGCTTCTTCTGCATAGGCTTTACAACATCATTCCTGGAAATGACTCCTGATTGCAAAGCAATCTGGCCTTCCTCAAACAGCTCTGGGCCTGGATTGACACACTCAAATCCTGAGTTAATTTGATTCCAAAAGTATATTTCCGAAGCTCTAACCTCTGAAGCAAGTACAGCAACGCTGAAAAGTATTTCAATTTCTACCTTATCCGTATGCACGTCACAGATTAGCTTCAATAATACCTTCAGGCAGTTATTACCACAGAAACTTCATGAGAGCTGATTAATTCAACAGGCTTTACTTCAAATTTAAGACAAGAACTTAAATTTAAGACTGGCAAGGCTGCACCTTGAATCCTGTGCTCAGCGCTGGGCCCCTCACCCCATGAAGGCCATGGAGGGGCTGGAGCGTGGCCAGAGCAGGGCAGCGAGGCTGGGGCAGGGGCTGGAGCCCAAGGCTGGGGAGGAGCGGCTGGGGGAGCTGGGGGGGCTCAGCCTGGAGAAGAGGAGGCTGAGGGGAGCCCTCATCGCTCTCTGCAACTGCCTGAAAGGAGGCTGGAGCCGGGGGGGTCGGTCTCTTCTCCCCAGGAACAAGCGATGGGATGAGAGGGAACGGCTTCAAGCTGCGCCAGGGCAGGTTTGGGTTGGGTATTAGGGAAAACTTCACGGAAAGGGCTGTCAGGCCCTGGCCCAGGCTGCCCAGGGCAGGGGCTGAGTCCCCATCCCTGGGGGTATTTAAAAGCCGGGGAGATGTGGTGCTTGGGGACATGGGTTAGTGGCGGCCTTGGCGGTGCTGAGTTAACGGTTGGACTCGATGATCTTAAACGTCTTTCCCAACCTAATCGATTCTATGATTCTAAGAAAAACCACACACAACCGATTACCGCGCCATCACTGTTAAACCCTGCTGAGGAAACCCCTTGTCCAAGACGCCCTTCGAGGACAGAGGCTGTGATGCCCTGGCACTTTCCAGGCATCCTCCCAGCAGCCCTGCAGCCACGCTCCTCGTGTTTATTCCCGTATCCCATAGGGAGAACCAGCACCGCCTCTGCCGGGGAGGGCGGCGGCAGATCCCGCCCGGGGACGGGCCCCCGCCCCGGCAGCTACGGCCGTGCCGCTCCTCCTCTCCCTCGGGGCCGCCCCGGCACGCCTTCCCGGCGCTCTGCTCGGCACCGGCCCTGCTCCCAGGCCGCGGGACCGGGCTCTCCGCGCCTTCTCCGGGGCTGCCCCGGCCCCGGGAAGGGCCCCGGCCGCCCGCCGCTCAC